TGAGTTGTTCTGACTTTCAGAAATTCTCAAACATTCCCACATCCTTCTGTCTATTATTCCCAGTCATGACAGATCCTTGGTACCTTAATCTTATAATCATCTCCGCCAGAGACAAACAGTGGCTGCTGCTTATGGAAGTCAATGCCTCGTACTGGACCTGGGGAAGAAGGCAGGCAACAATGTTAGAGAGTTGCTCTTTTTTTATTGGTTCTTTTTAGTTATATGTAATAGTAGAATCCATCTTGACATAATTATACAAGCATGGAATATATCTTATTCTAATTTAGACCCCAGTACTTCTCCTTTCCTCTCCTCTTGCTCCCTTTCCTCTATCCATCTTTCTGCCATTTACCCATAGTTATTATTTATTAAAATTAATTTCTTGTGGATGTACATGATGATGAGATTCATTATGGTACATTCATCTATGTACACAGGAAAGTTATGTCAGATTCATTCCACTGTCCTTCCTTTTCCTAATACCTCATCTTTCCTTCATTCCCCTTTGTCTAATACACGGAACTTCTATTCTTCCCTGCCCCCCACCCCCATTGTGGGTGAGCTTCTAAATATTGGAGAAAACATTTGACCTTCGGTTTTTTAGGATTGGCTTATTTCACTTAGCATGATAGTCTCCAGATCCATCCACTTACCAGCAAATGCCATAATCTCATCTTCTTTATGGCTGAGTAATATGCCATCATGTACATATACCACAATTTCTTTATCCTTTCATCTGTCAAAGGGCACCTAGGTTGGTTCCATAGCTTAACTATTATGAATTGTGCTGTTACAAACATTGGTAAGGCTGTGTCACTGTAGTATGCTGATTTTAAATCCTTTGGATATATAACAAGGAGTGGGAAAACTGGGTCAAATGGTGGTTCCTTTCCTAGTTTTTTGAGGCATCTCCATACTCCTTTCCAGAGTGGTTGTACCAGTTTGCTGTTCTAACGACAATGTATGAGTGTACCCTTTTCCCTGCATCCTCACCCACATTTACTGTTACCTGTCTTATTGATTATTGCCATTCTAACTGGAGTGAGATGGAATCTAAGTGTAGTTTTAATTTCCATTTAACTAATTACTAGAGATGTTAAACATCTCATTTTAGAGAGCTGGTCTTTCAAATCTCTATAATGATTCCTATTTGGAATTTTTCAGTTCTATCTATTCCACATCCTTTAATTCTAAAGAACTATATGAATCAAGGCTTAAACTAC